ATTCATTACTTTTCATATCATTCACCCAATTTTTCTCATGGCTCATAGTTTGAGTTTATACAGGTGAGTCACGTAACTTTAGCACCTCCAATAACTTTTGAATGATTAAAGTTATTGCAATGCAGTTTTCACAGACGTGCACGAGGGAATGGGGCTAATTCATACATGTATTCATTTCCATTTTACAACTTGAATTTTACGACATAATTAAGGTAACTTAGTTTTAACAAATACAACTATAGATATTTTTCAGTCCATCATGACGAGTGTAAAAAGTCGAATCTAATGACATAAATATTGCCATATGGTAGATAAGCATTTCTTTGAGTAATTTTGATTTTTTGCGACTATTGGTAATGGACAATTTGAATGTTACAGTCAGCCACACAAGGTCACACTTCACTCCACCGGCAAGCGCACGATCAAGGTACGAAAGGGATCTTTAAAAGTTACAGGAGGTGCTATAGTTACAGGACTCACTGTTTACTTTAATATTTTTACCAGAAATAACGCAAAAGTTTTTTCAAAAAATTGTACATGACCTTTTTTAAAGAGCTAATTTTGTACAACAGACTTTGTCTGAAGCAAAAATCACAATCTTCAATTTTGTAGTCTTGAAAAGTTTTTTGCATGAAGAAAAATAATAATAATAATAATAATAATAATAATAATAATAATAATAATAAATTATTATTATTATTATTATTATTATTATTATTATTATTATTATTATCATTATTATTATTAACTTGATTGGCCACATTGGACCACTTGAGTCGTTCCACTTCACTTTGGTCGAAGGTTTTCATCTTGGTCACTTTTGTCGAAGGTTTTCATCTTGAGGTGAGGATAAATCCTCAAGTTACAATTCTGAATGTTATTCAGAAAGGTGATAATGAGAGATGGATGATGATGATGAAGATGATGATGGGGATGGGGGGTGAAAGGACGAACACAAGACAACCATGCCCGAGGCGGGACTCGAACCTGCAATCTTTCGGTACGAGGCACTACTGCCTTAGCGATCTCGGCCACCGGATCGGCATAATAATAATAATAATAATAATAATAATAATAATAATAGTGATATTTTTTTAAAAAATGTAAAAACCTGGCAATACCTGAAAATGAGACTAGCACCATATTTCTTACCATGCCTTATTAGAAAATTTAAAGAAAAAAATTGGAACAGTTTTTGAAAATTTTTTGATGTAAATTTCAATCACAAAATATGTTAAAACTACTCGATTTTTCAAAAGATTGTTCATGTTTTTTGAAGAGCTAATTTTGTACTGTAGATTTTGTCTGAGACAAAAATGTCTATCTCCAATTTTAAAGTTTTATTACTTATTTTTTTCTTCCAATTTTCGAAAAATGAGGAATGTTACCAAAAATAAAACCTACACCATTCTCTTAAACGTCCTTTGCACTATTTAACAACAAAATTTAACCAAAAAATTTTGAGCCATTTTTTTTTGTCCCACGAGCGTTTTGTAAAGAATTCCCCAAAATTAAAACATCGGTTTCAAATATCAGGGTCCGTGACATCAGCAAAACGATTGGGGGATATCACTTTTGGAGAAAATAAGCTGAACAGTTTATGCGCTACTGTTGTGTACGACTGTCGTTTTGCCGTCATTCGATTTTTCAGTATCAAAGACCCACAAAACATGGATTCTGGTTATACAACGTGTTAGTGGACTTTTTTTTTGTCTGGCAACTGTATTTATCCACTTTTTCCTTACCAGGGTCCGACAAGAGTTTTTGTGTCGAAAATTCACCGTTTTCTATCACATGATTATAATACTTTCTCTTCTTACATTAAGTGCGAGAAAGTAAAAATAAAATGCATATACTCACATATATTCATTTTGCGGAATTTTATATATTATACCAATACTTTTAATCAGTTGCCACATTATAAAACTTACCATTTTCCAATTTGTTTTCTTCTCATGTATTCATAAAGAAAAGTTTGAAATTGATCTTACCGCGTCAATCAACTCAAATAATTAATTTTAATTGAATTCAACTACATGTTTTAGTTTCCTTGATAAACACTGGCTGACAGAGCCATTAACCAGTTAGATAATTATAACATCTCCAAAAATTCGAGATCACAGTGGATGCCGGCTTCACACAACTTTTTCTATTATCTAAAATAACAACTTTGAAAACCAGCATTGTCACACATTCAATTCCTCCAAATACCCATTTACCAATATTGTTTTACTTTAATTACATTCCCGTTTTACTATAAATTATATTCTGGCCAAACTCTCACCAATTTGATTATTCCTTCAACACCCAAATGTACGCTTTCACTCTCCACTCTATTAAAACATTGCCCTACCAAAGTGTGACCATCCATCAGTTTCAACATAACACATAAACCATTCATAATATGTTTTCACTCTTATTGGCGCTTGCCCAACTTGCAAAAACATAATAATTATGCTTAATTTCTCACAACTAAACATGTGTGTATTCATACCTTTTTACGACAATATCCACATCCATCAGAAAATTATCTATTCCAAACATTTTATTTCTTGTATACTTAATGCACTCACACTCACAATTAAAATTAATATCCAAGTTACTTTTATAAATAAAGCAGAGAAAAACAGAATTATTTCGGATTAAACAATTGACTGCAAAAATAAATGAAGAATCACAGATATTATCTTCTGATGGCACGAGCTAAACTGTTATCATTAATGGACTCTGTGTCTGTGATGTGAAGGTAGGTGAAAAATGTCCAGAAAAGTAACTTTTTGGTAAATATATTAAGGTTTATGGTTATAAATCATCACCAATAGTATTCCAGGTCATCAAAGGAAGCTATCACAAAAGTTTCATTAATATTGGTTCAGTAGATTCAGAGAGTATTGCACTGTAAGTAAACACACTTCTGTCTTCACATATTAGTATAGGTATAGATAATGCTATTTCTAGTCCCATTGAAACTTCATCAGGCGTTCCACAGGGCTTACACTAGGGTCCCCTTTTGTTAAATGTATATACAAGAGAATCTGAGAGGGGATTCTCTCCCCACTTTCTTTCCACTTGATCCTGTCCATGTCTATAACGATGTGAGCTTGAAAGGATTCCAATTCTTCAGATTCTACGGCACACTTGTGGGGGTCAACACATTAACTTGTAGGCTGGCAATCTATTTGGTTTTGGATAATTTATAGTTTCTAAAAAAAAGCGAGTGTAAAAGGATGGTAACTCTGACGAACCACCATTGAAGCTTACCAAAACACTTTTCAACAACTCGAGTCAACTGCAGAGAGCTTATGCAAGAAAGTGACCGTAAGTACATTCTGTGGTCAGAAAACAAGGCTCGGCTGGCTTATCAGAGTCTTTATACACTATTGAGATCAACATTTCTTTTTCCCTTTCCTTCACAGTCACTGAGGGAAAGAGGTGCGGTTTTAAAATTCAGGAGAGGACTATAATTCATTCCCATGGACCCCACACATCATGGAGCTCAACAAGAAGACACACCGTTTGAGTGTCTGGGATGGCATTGGAATGGAGTGGCATGGCTTCTTCTCGGTTTCACATTAACAGGGGACACCATAAAACTCCCTCACAACCTAGATTTAGACAATGACCAAGTCCAAGGTGGATGATAGGGAGTGGGTTAGAACCTGAAGGTCAGTCTGAAAGAGGTTGAAGCCAAACCAAATGTATCGGAGCGTGCAGTATGTAGTCATTACAATTCCATGGCATTCCTATGGTGAACAGAGGAAGACAAAGAGTCAGCCCCTAAAATTCTAGCACCAAGGAGAAATGCAAAGAGTTTACACAGACTATGTGAGAAAATAAATATTGAATTATATAGAGAGTAAATATAGCTCTTGTAAAAATAAAAATTGGTAATACTTGATGAATCACGTATTACCAACTAAAAAGGTTACATCCATGGAGAAATTACTTTAAGAGTCCAGTCTTGTAGTAAAAAACACCTGGAATCTTTATTCCAATAAAAACTAGTTGTACTACACAATGGCACAGACTTTTCTGTACTAGTTTCCTATTGCCATTGCTCGGCTGAAAGAACTCACTATGGACAACAAATTTTATTTGAAGGAAAAATCTCAATCTTTAATTTTGTAGTTGTAGGAAGAAGTCAGAAAAAATCTGCACTTTTAAAATTTTTGAAAATTCAGAATTAACCAGATCTATGCCACGTTTATGTGTGTATGTTACTCTATTCTTACAAGAAATTTAAAGAAAAAATTTGGAGCCATTTTTGAGAAAATTTTGAACATGTCCAGAGGGCTTCATGTAAAGTATCCCCAAATTTTGAAGAATTTTTCAAAATCTCAAAGTTTCAACTCAAGCCAGATGGAAAGGGGTTTCTTCAACTCGGATAAAATTTTATGAATGGTTTAGGCGCTAGTAGTGTTCACAGACGTCAGACAGACGTTTGGAAGAAGAAAAAAAGGACAAAAGGAAAAAAGAAAGAAAAAGAAGAAAGAGAAATAAGAAAGAAAGAAAAAAAAAAGAAAGAAAAAGAAGAAAAAAGAAGAAGAGAAAGAAAACCTTTTTCAGTGCCTGAGGATCCCAAAACATGTATATCCGTTGAAATCTCAATTTTCTGCAGCATTACACAACTTTCCCTATACTATGTATATTAGTCTATATACAGTTAAGTAAATAATTAAACAGAAACTTTAAAAAAAGGTCTTTCGTAATTAAAATGATACCAGTTTTGACTTCAGAATATCTAATTACCAATTTAATTACCTTTTGCATGGCAATTTAAGAAACTTATCCTCTCAATGTAAGGTGTATAATTTTGAAAGTTACAGATTTTCAGAAACTAAAATGTTAGGTTTGTGGTTTTAAAGGGTATTTCTTTTACAAGTGATTCAAAAGTATATGATTCATACAAGTCCTAAATTTTTTGAAAGTTCACGACATAAGCAATGAATTTGTAACAAGGGATACAAAACACGGAGTCCAATTCTAACCACAAAAATTACCTGTAAAAATGGAAGACCCAAGAGTCGCATGTCAAATCTTGTTCTTTCGAGTCCATTGATCTGTGAAAAAAACAATTGGAATTCAAGCATATTTTGTTCCCTTTGCAAAACACACATAGAAGTTTAATTTTCTTTAAACTTTTGAGACAGAGACAACTTCTATCAAGTGCAACCTTAAGAATCTACAGTAGATTCATTTACAAAGCACTCAAACCTTTCTTGAACTTGCATAAATATACTTCATATGAACTGAACTTTACTTTAGCTTGGTCTTTTATCCGTTTGGAGCACTGCAAGAAGAGTAGAGAAGATGGTAACATGCTTGTAGGTGTCTTTTGGCTTCAAAAAGTGATTTGACAAACATTTTGTGCTAGCCAGAATCGAGTTCCTTTTTTTCATCAACGGTGAAGGCCGAAGACTATAGTTCACTTGCAAGCCTTGCTGTTAGCTTGGAACTGCATGAGCAAAGTGAGTAAATTTAATCGTAAAAATGTTTTGGCATAAACCTGCATCAAAATTTTGCAGTATCCATGAACAAAATTGTCAAAGTTATCTTCACTTACATTTATGCCAGAAAAAAAGCAGTATTTAAAACACACAGCCTCCTCAAGTGGAGCAACCAAGCAAATAAAAAGTTGAACCAAAGCCCTAAATTTGCAAATATTCAATAGGGAATTGAAGGTATACTTGTAATTTCAAAAATACAACAAAAAATCCATACATACTGCTATGCTAATTGCTGTTTTGGGAAATCCTTCACTTGTTGGGTAGTCAGCACTGGAATTGTATATTAGATGTTGTTTCGGTTTGGGTGGTACCTTCTTCAGCGGTTCACTACCAACGACTGGTAGCTTCAGTGATTTTGTACATACATTTTTTCGAAGACCCATCTTCAATGCTGCAAGGAATCGTTCTAAAGCAGATGCTTCACAATTAATTATCACATCGTGAGGAGGTTCTTTGAAGCGTATTGTAGTTTTTCCGTCTTTGGCATACTTGTCAAAGACTTTCTCAATATTGTCTTTCACCTTAAAATTAAAAAAAAAAAATTGAAAAAAATGAAAAAGTTATTTTAACACATACACTAATATTGGCGATGCTCTGTTTTGCAAGTACCTTGTATACTGTTCCCAAACTATTCTGATTTGACTGGTGAACAAGTACCAATTCATTCGGATATCCCGGTTTTGTGCCGAAAGCCAATACTGATCTTTGTGCACGTCTCTTCGGCATGCTATACGACGCTGCAAGCCGGTGATTTATTTCTACATTTGCCACGAACTTCATTTTTGTCTCATGATATAGGCTTCAATCAGTCAAAATTTGAACACACTCTTCCGACTTGACACATGCAGATCTGCTTTTGAGCAAGAGCACGATTTTGAGTACAGACGAGAAAACGTGACTAGAACACATTTGGCCAACATAACACGCCAAATTTTTCAACAATTTTAAAGGTAGTGTAATGATATCAAGCCTTTTCTAAAAGTATGCGTCTCTCAAAATTAAAATTTAATACACCATAATATGGCAAGAAGACTTTGCGAAATAAGAAAAGTTTAATTCCACAATTACGGTTCGCAGCGTTTAGCCTTTTAATGTTTTCATCAATGAAGACGAGATGATTCAGGAACCAATAGACGAGGTGCATTCATCTGCAATACGAGATGGAAACAGGGCGGGAATCTGTTCATATTCTTCAATTTAAATAGAGTGACTTTTGAATTTGAAGCGCTGGACTGGATTCAGACTCGATTATCCAATCGAAAACTCTGTTTTCATCCATTTGTACTAATTTTTGGTAATAAAGTTTCGGATTAGATACTTGGGTCCAGTTGATTGAACGTTAGAAATAACTATATTGAAATTGGAGATTAAGTAGTTGCTCTACGTGAGGGCGGTATTTCGATTGATTGAATATGATGAATTTTCAGTCTCATCACCATGGACAGTTGTCAATATGCAGATTAGGCATCCATGTAGAGCAGCACGCATAGTGCGTTTTATTTTTGTTGATTTTTACTAATATCATTAAATTTAAATGTGTTTTTATTATAGAAAAAATCTTACTTTCCAAATAAACATCACAAAGATACCTGTAATAAGTCACGGGCTTTATTTCATATACTCTGGGGTGGTTATGAGAGAAGAACTAATATTTTTGAAGAAGATTAGCAACTAATCTTCTAGTATTGTAAGAAAACAGCATCAAAAGAGATTAGAGATTAACATGGCTGTGGTAACCTCATAAATAAATCAAACTAGTTAAACATTTTCATCATTTAGATGCTTATGTAAAGAACAGAATTTAAACTATTTAAATTATCTTTGGTATGTGCAGCCTAAAACAAAAGGGGGAGCTACTACATTTTTGGGCCCTTTCCCTTTAAAATATTTTATTGGCATATCTCATTTCATGTGTGCAACAATTTTCAGTTTATTTTTGATATGCATTTTCGGGCAGTTGTAGGAGGAATTATGTCGGACCTGGCTGCATTTTTAAGTATGGTTTTGTATAATTTTCAACTAAGTGATGAAAAACAGATTGGCACATTAGTCTATATGTATATTGCTATCTTTTGTATTTCAGAGTTGTCTTAATATCAAGGAATATCAACTTTAAAAATTTCAGTTCAAGGGTTAAAACAGAGTGATGGTTTGGCTCTCCTGCTGTTTAATCTTGTATTGGACTGAGGGGTTAAACAAGTGAATTAAATTAGTAATATGCTCCTATATAAAACAGTACAGATAGTTGGGTACACTGATGAATTCAACATTATGGGAAGACCAATATCGGCGGTTAAGGAAACATTAAGGATAATAAAACTAGATTACGTATTAATGCTGATAAAATTAAAAAAAATGGCCCAACTAATGAAGGGAATACAAAATATCCTGATAACTCTGAATGAGACCAAAATACAAGTAAATGAATTCAAATACTAGGGCTCTATGATCACTGATGATAATAATGAAGGGATGGAGATACGGCAATGAATGATTGCGAACAACAAAACATATTATTCCCTCAGAGGAATATTTAAAAACCAAGAAGTGAGCAGAACAAAAATATCTATGTACAAAGTGGTAATAAGAACAGCGTTAGCTATGGGTAAGAAACATGGGCTAAGGCCCAGACAATAGAAAATAAATTGATGGTGTTTGAATGAAAGATTCTGAGAGATATTTATGGGGCAGTGCAGGAGAATGAACAATGGCAGAGGCATAATAATGGCACTATATTTTCTTTATAAATTCTCTAGTATTATTATACACAAAAAACTACATCATCTGGAATGGGCATGTGCAAAGTATGCTATGAGAATACCAGAGAGCAATGGAAGAGAGGGTATTTGAGGGCAGACTGGTTGGAAGACCTAGGAAGAGATTGCTTAATGGTGTCACCCAAGATGCAAGGGAACAGTTGAGGATAAGAATATGGAGAAGAATTGCGGAAAGCAGAGAAAATTGAAAGCAAATTATCGGTGAGACCTGAGTCCAACCGGGTCTGAAGCACCATCAAGGAACAAGAAGAAGCTTCTAGTGATAAAACAAAAAAATATGGAAGAAGGAGTTATAAATGATAAAGGTGGAACTAATCTGGTGTAAGTTATTTTTTTAGATAATTGGTTATTTTACAATTCACATCCTGCCCCCTGAAATAATATTGATCTGGCAAAATGGGTCAATGTGGTTCATTATACTTGTAATTTTTCCACTTTATTATTGTCGACATCGTTTTCATCGTCGTGGTCGTCATAAAATAATATTGTGTCTAACTTGCCTGTCGTCAATATCAGCTTTTAGATTATTATGACCATAATTAAAAGTGTGTATTTGCAAAATGAAAAGTTTAAAAAGACAGTAAAATTGCTGCAATTACTTTTGACATGGAAAGGATGCTCCCTCACCCACATCTTAGCAAAGGCAGAGGATGTTATGTAGTAAGTCAGCTGTATGCTCAATTTCAGTATTCATGCATACCACTACTGAAAACGTTATAGTAAAAATGATGCATGAGAAAACAATTGCTTGAGAATCACAAGAAATGATTTCTGACCTTTATCAGTATATTAAAAATGATATACCCATTGTTAACAAAACATTATGTCGATTTTCACTTGCGAGAGCCAAAACAGAATCAGGTATATTTTATTCTTTGCAATGTAGAGATGGTCAACTCTTGTCCTAATCTAAACTTAATCATTTGCTCATTACTTTGTTAGCAGTCACACCTATTTGCCAAATGATATGGACTTTTCTTTTAGAACAAAAAAGAAGTGATCTCTTTACGCTAGAAGACCGGATGCAGTTAGTATCGCAGACATCCCCCCGTGAATTGTGAAAAAAATAAGGTAGCAAATAATGTATCTCTTTAGTTTTGGCTAACTTTTTGATTCCCCTCCCCTCTTCCCAGCAGCTAACTGTTGCATCTCAAAGACTATTTTTCACATCTTCTCAATTTCACATCTCGTCTCTTATTAATAGGATTGAAAATTGACCTTAAGAATATTAGAGAAGAATAAAAGTTGGTCCTAAATGCAAATTCTCATTGAAAAATGTTGACCTGTTTTGGAGAAAATGTCATTTGAGCATTGCTGAAAATGCGAATATTTGAGTTCATTTTCACAGAAAACTTTTGTTTTCAAGAAGCTTCATAAGAAAACATTTGAAGCACTTATACTCACAAATGCAGGGACGTTAAAAAATACCCATCCAATGTGTATGTTTTGGAAAACTAAATATGTACGTCAAAATTATGTTTGTCCTGTTATTTTGTGAATTTAGCACTATCCATACAAAAAGTGTAAGAAAAAAATTTGGAGTCATTTTCGAGAAAATCTTGTTTTTATAATTGCCCATATTTTACTCAAAATCATGCAAAAAAACCACAAATATTTTTCAACAAAATGTGCATGACATTAATTAAAAAACAAATTATGAAGAACAAAATTGATTTTAAGAAAAATTCTCTATCTTCAAAATTGTTGTTGCAGGAAGTCAGAAAAAATGTTGCACTTTTGCAATTTTTGAAATTTTAGAGAATTCACCAAAAGTGAGACTAGCATCACTTTTTTTATGCTTTTTATTGTATTCCCCTCCAATAAAGTTAAACAAAACATTTGTCAACATTTTTAAGAAAATTTTGAAAATGTTTAGATTTCACAAAATGGAAAATTTTCTCCCAAAAATCAAAATATCTATTCCAAATTCAAGGAGTCATGTCATGAACAAAATAGATTGTTGAATATCAATTTTGGTGAAAATTCTGTCAATAGTTTTATTGTTAGTTTTGTTCACAGACAGATATATGGACAGATGTTCTGTAAAGCAATTTTTTGAGAGACAATATGCTAGGGGAAGTAATTTACGTAATTTTGAAAAAAGATTTATCAGCGTTTCCATTCCTTCCCTCCTGAGTTTTGTGCCAAAAATTGCATTATTTTTTTGTTCTGCAGCATTACACTACGTTCTCTATACTATGTAAGTAGTAGTAGGTAGGAAAGTTAAAAATATCATAGCTTATTCTTTTAATTACTAGAATTAACATTCCAATATTTGCTAAAAGTATTTTCAGTAGAAACACATCAGTGTACATCAGCAATAATAATAAATACATAAATGCAGTTTCTTCTAATATCACTTCATTATTCTTCTCTCTAATTAATTAATTAAATTGGCAGTGATAATAAATTGAGCAATTACAAATCTGCTGATATAGAAGAAATTTTGGATTACATGGAGAAAAAAACATCACTTTAACTTAACATTTAACATTCTTAATTGTCCTTTAACTTTTAATCATTACATGTCCTGTAACCCACATCATTGACTTAAAGTTCTCAGTCCACTTTTAAAAAATTGCTTGTTAATCTTGGAAAATTATAATCTAGTATATTTATACAAAAATGTTATAAATAATTTTGTTTTTTAGGGAAGGATATAGCATGTTTATTATTATAAATATAATGAAAACATTGTAAAGGCAAATAATATTTTAGTTTATGGGGAAAAGAGGTTTAGCAAAAGACATGAACATTTTGTCATACTTTATTTGGTTAAATGAGGTATTGAACAATTGTAACAGTGCTATTTTGAACCTACAAACTATGGACTTCAAGCGTATTTTTATGTGAAAGTTGTGAGAGTTTTTTCTTGTGGCTGGAGAATTTTATTTAATACAACTTCAGTACTGTAGTATATAATAAATAAAATATGTACATAATTTTTCTTGAATACTTGTACAATCTTTCTCAAAATATCTCTCATGTTTCCATCAATATTATAAGTAACATCCACAGTAGAATACACAAAACACACACAGATTTGTTTACATAATTAGAATGAATATAAAAAGTGTGTCTCTTGCAATTTTGTATTGGAATAGATAATGCTACACATTATATATTTAACACCAATAAATGTGTACATTTTTAACAATAACAGAGAAAAAGTAATTCAAATGTTGTTATCAAAAAAATAAATATTTTTTGTGAGATTTCAAACTTATTTAAATGAAACAGAATAAACGCATATACTATATCTGCATTTCATAAAGCAGAATTTCCCATTTTGTAAAGTGTTTTGTTCCATTTTATTAGCATGCAGAATGTCTTTTTTTTAAAAATTATTAATGCACTGCTTCTTCTAAACAACAAATACACATTAGTATCAATTTTGCTCTTTAATTTAATTAATTGCTCTTTAATGAACTCAATAATGCATATCGTGTTAAAAAATGGTTTAGGATTGAGTAAATGATTTAAGATTAACATTTTTGAAAGAAAAATTTTTGTGTTAAATAAAAAATGCTTTAATAATTATTTATTGTGGCATAACACATGATAAGTGACATAAAATGAAATATATAATATAAATATTCAGTTTCTTGAAATATTTCAGAGTTAATAGTACTTCCTTTCATTTGTTATATCAGTGGCTTACAATTCATTTGTGTCTTTAAACAGTCTGTGTGCGTCTATGTAACCACTGTGTGTGTCACTTTGAACAAATCCTCTTGTGCATGGGAGGCATAAAATATATCTCTTTTATGGAAGGATGTGTTAGTTACTAATTAAAGAGAAATATCTTTCAAAATACACATTTTATGATACATATATACAGCAAGATCCAGCACCAGCAGGCTGTCTGCCCTTCTCCCTAGTAGAAGTCACAATATAGCTTGATCTCTGGGAATAAGTGGGCACTTAATTTACACAAAATTGACTCATCTTTGTTCTAATATCAAGAATTCTATACTAGAAATCAGTCTGGTGATATGAGTTGGGTTTAAATAAGCATGAAAATTTTTTACACTTCAACTACAAAATATTAATTTTAGATTGTCTCCTTGTACCATTTATTTACAAATTTTAACAATTGAAGTGAAATTCTGCTTTTCACAAAATTTATTATTAAAATTTTTTGGGTAAAATGAGTGGTGCCATTTCTGTTTGTGGATCACTATGTTGTGACTCTTGCTAGTTCCACATAATTGCCCTACTCAAGGCTTTCATTTAAAAATACTTCTGTATTGGATAAGGCATTTAAAGAATGATACTTTTTTAAAGCTATCGCAAAATAAATGCGAACAAAAATTTTATTGTTTTAATGTAACATCAGGACTATTTTATTAGGATTCTTGAACTTGAACATAACAAAAGTAAATTGAATAACAAATGTTACTGAATCTGACTTATGTGGAACTAAGCCATTTCTCTCCTCTCCCCCTTGCACATTTCTGCTAACCACTTAGGGTCTAACCGAGTGATCTTACAGAAGTCAATGCCACCACTGTCAATTCCCTGTGGTGCTTATAAAATAAAAATGCAAACAATGATATTTCATACGATTCTTTTTAAAAACATTATTTGTTCTTGGTGGTGGCTGCTACATTAAAAGCTTGTACATATGTAGATAAACACATAAGCAAATACCTTCTCAAAAAAACACAAGGGAAAACTCCACAAAAATACTGCAATTATATCAATAATTCTTACATGCAAAAATCAATGTTGCATAAGTTTCTCTTAATTTTTCTTTGGGATATTTCTTAGCAGCCTAGGCAATTACTGTGTTTCTAGTCACTTATACAACACCTGTGCATTTGTGACAGTTCATAATGAAGAGAGATATGAATCAGAGTACAGGTAATTTGATTCTATTGTGCAAAATTTGTGCTGTTTTCAGTACTTAACTGAACTGAAAGAGTATTGTTTAAATAGAATATTTTAACTGTAATCAGTGATTATCATTCATTCAAGTACAATTGTTATTTATGAAACGACTCTGCCTTCAAATGTATTAATCAAAATGATATTATAATTTTGGTAAGCGAGTTAACTGTCAACATCTTTAGCTTTTAGTGATATTTACATGTAGGTTAAGAACTTATTTTTGCAATGCCTTTCATTTACTAATTCTTTAAGTTAATTGTTTTGATATTGAAAAAACATCAATGATTGAAAAATAATTTGTTTATTAAATCAAAGATATGTTTATTTCATATTTACAAGAGAAAAGTGCTCTCATAATGTTATCATATATTTTTCAATACCTGTTTTAACTTTTAATTTAAAACTAAATTTGTAACGAAAAATTATTTTATACTATTGAAAGATTTCAACACTAGCAAAAAATATTTAAAAAAATATACAAAATGAAAATAAAATAGCAAGAAGAAGTGAATCTATTGCTTTTTTCTAGTTCATCAGTCAGTAAAAGATTCAAAAGATAAGGTTTTTGACAATTCTTGCTCATCAATTGAAACCATTTTCTTCCTAAATACATTTTCAACAGAAATCATTATTGGAGACATTTGTATTTCATTATGCCAAAGAACAGGGTTCAGAAACATATGAAAAGAGACTAAATGATTTTGATCCAATACGTGGATGCAAACCATGTCTTTCATATTCATTTGATAAATGTATGGTAGTAAAGCAAATCATTGCTTGATTTTTACATACTGTGGTTTGAATTCATTGCATTGGAGTCTCTCTTTGTAATTTTTATAATTTTGAACTAGCTTAATTGCCAGAAAACTGTCATGAGGTTTATTTGAATTATAAAATTTGAATGTATTTTTCATTTTGAAATGTAAAAGTAAGTTCATGGTTTGAAAACTGTTAGCATTTAAGTAGCTTTTTTGATTATGAAGGGCACTATAAAAACAGACCAATACCAGTCTATGTGCTCACAAAAGAGTACCATCATCCTCGAGAGTTGATGTATCATAAGATACATCCATTGGGTTTAAATCAATTACTTACCATTAATTTCAGGTAGGTACTTCGTTTGCATTAACTTTGCATGCCCACCAAACAATTTGCACAAAACATACGGAATGAAATACAACTTCAGTGGCGTGAAAGCGTGGCTACCGAGAGTGTGTGAGGGCTTCGCTTCCCGAACTGTCACATAATGCAAGAGGCTGCCATTGCCCGTTGTGGGGATGCGATTGTCGTCGGGCGAAAGCTGCGGTGGCAGGAGGGGCGGGGGAGGCGTGGCCTCGGGGAAGGCAGCGCCCGTCTTCGGGCGAGGTCTCGCATTTCGGAGAGCGGCGCGCAGGCATGGCCAGTGCAACTGGGAGGATGAGCCCCTGCTTCAACTGCTGTCGATTTTGAATGACTAGTAATGGATGCTTCATAAGCAACCAATTTTCCAGACCAACGGCAGCTCATGCAGTGGACGGTTTCATGCTATCACTGACTGCACTTATTGCATCCGGTAGGCTACAAAGAAATATGACTTTCAATGATATGCAGTTTGTGGGACATTCGTCATAAAAATGACATTGCTTAACTTCTCGACGAGGAAGTTCCAACTAGCCCTACATTCGTGTGTAAGAATTGCACTTGCTCTACGTACGTGTGTAAGGATCCTCAGTCAATATTGCATGGGCAATTTTGTTTTTAATTTTTCGCAACAATTAATATGTCAGCGGAAAAATAAATATATAGCCCAGGTAAGCACGGACAGATTAAACATAATATAACGGCAATTGGAAATGTTAAGAAATCAAGTTTCAGTATTGTGTGTTAAATTACATAGAAGGAATACAAGAAAGGATTGAGATAAATTTTCTCTTTTTCTTGAAACTACGGGAGATAGTAGTCGATATGTAGTTTCGATGTTGCGAGTTAGACATTTCTTTGAATAATGCTAGATAATAAACAATAGAAGATTTCTTTCTTTCTATTAAAATTTCTACACGTAACCGATATAGAAGTGTACCTCGGATTTGGTAAAAAAGTTGTACTGATTTTTGAAATTACGAAATCTGCAACAATAATATTCGTAGTACAGTCATCGTGAAATCACCGGAAGCTCAAGTTGTCTGCATGTAACCGTGGATGCCCGCATTCGCTTATTTCAAAAATAGTCCTTTGATTTCCGTGGCCTGTCTCGTTCGTATTCTAGCCAGACACTAGCCAGAGCATCGAGCGCGGACTTGAACGAAATTTTCGGTATCGTCGCGGAAATGGCTAGTACATTGAGCCAGCTTGTCGAACAATCCCCGCCATCTAATCCGTCTACTTGCGAGAACATCTTCAAATTCGATGGCTACGCGATTGTAGCAGTAAAGAAGAAGAGGAAGAAGGAAATCATCACGTAATGTCCAAAGAAAGAAACGGACTAAGAATAAGAAAGTGCTGGTATTTCCTCTAATGTAAGATGCTCATAATATTGCCACCGCCTTCGGATGGGTTCACTTGAAACGGTGACAGGAGAGACACTGCGTCGCCGGGGAGGCGAGGAGGCTTCTCGCCCGAGACCGCCGCTGCGGAGGAACGAGGCGTGGCGGTGCGGGGGCGGGGCGGAGGCGGGGGCGGTGCGTGCGGGCGTGGCGCCGGGGTCTCTAAGGCGGCGCGTGGAGGGCGTGGTGTCCTCGGGGACGGGGGAGTCTTCGTCGCGCGGCGCGACTTGACGCGCACCGACGGCCCGGGCGCGCGCCGCCCCGCGCCCGCCGCCGCGCCCGCGCCCGCCCCCGCGCCCAGCGCGTGCAGCGGCGGCGCGTGCGCGGGCGCGTCCAGCTGCTGCGTGTACTTGGGCCCCATGGCGCCCGGCGTCTGCAGGCGCGCCTTCTCCGGGTCGCCGGTCGTCTCGTCGGCGCGCAGCACGAACAGCAGCCCGAGGTTCAGCTGCGGGATGTCGTAGAACACCGTCAGCGTCAGCATCATGAACGTGAGGCCGGCCAGCAGGTACACTGCAACACACGTGCGAGGAGAACGCGTTAGAACGAAGAAAATGCTTCCTGTCACCTGGAAAAGGGAACAACTCAAGGTTGAATTTTCGGGAACGAATACTCTTATTAAATACTCTTATTAAATATGGGTAGACAAACGGGCGGAAGGACTGATGAACAGACAGTCGTTTTGAAAAATCTACTTTTTCGGTATCAGGGACTACGAAAGTATTTCCGTCAAACTCTCGACATATATTTTTTGTAATATTACATATTTTTTCTATGTGTACATGAAGTAAAACTGACGATAGTTTACTTTTCAGAAAGGGATGGGAAAATGGCAATAGTCGTCACAATTATTAAACTAATTAATAGTTTGGCCATAATTATAAAATTGCAAATAATTATTATATAAAAGTGAAGTTAATAATAAACTCTGTGAATACTGCAGAAATATTGTGGAAATTCATACGGATGTGTAAAAAGAAGTAAGCTTCCACCATAAGAATGTTTTTTAAATTTAGATCTTACATTACAGCATACATGTTTGGAGGACTTTATCCTATCTTCAGCGACCAAGTAACGTCGAATAAAACATACTGTTCCACATGCATCCTTATGTCGACGTGACAATGCTTACATTTCAACGCCTAGCGAAAAATTAAATACATTTATCAAAAAACTTAATCTTTGGAGTTGTGCCAGTATTGCAATTCATGAACTGTGCGGCACATTACCCGTGGTCTAGAAAAATTCCGCGTGTTCTGCGAGTAGGCGCATGTCATGCCAAAGCTCTAATCGGGCTGCATACACTCGGCCCATGCCATGGACTATTTTGGCTCGTGGTGAAACAGATGAGCGTAGCCGAAAACAGCCACACTGCGAAATGTAGTCGCCCGCCAGTCAGCGAACTGAGTGCCTGCGATAATGCTGCAGAAGGGTCAAGTCAGTCAGTGAATTTGGGGGATAGTGTTCATGAACGGTTTACTTTGTTCCGATATCGTCACTAAAAGGACTATTCTAAGAATTCAAATAAATCACGTTGATAAGAATGCGAGAGTTTTAATATGCTTTATTTGATAGAGAAGTTCAAAGGGAGGCCATGCAAGAGGAAAGTAAACTGACGGTTCACATTCGCACAAAATCAAAGAGCCCGTTCACTTTAATCTCACTTATGTGCAAACGGAAGATACCAAATTTTAATCAAATATTAGTCCCTGGAAATAGAATTTCGTTAAATAGAAGTTATGAAGTGCACTTTTTTAAATTCTGACAACATAAACAAATTGTTTCTTGTGAATATTCTACTGGATTGGGAGGAATGACAAAAAATAATTGGGAATATCACAGTTCCAACACAAGTTAGCTAATGTTCGTGACATGCATGTGAATTATCTTCACAAGTGTCTTAGAATGAATGTCGTAAACATCTAGGGCAGATAAAAAGATCAAATTATCACTTTTCCAATGAACATGTTTGCAGAAATTTCATATAACGGATTTTTCCCCTGATTGTCGGGCAACCCCGTGTGCTCAAGTGTTCGGAAAGTTCATGAAATCCTCTTGAAAGCGTCAAAGCCTGACCTGCCAAACATTTGTGCAGAAAGTTATGCCTAACAATAAGGGACAAATATCACACGTGTAACTCCGTTATAAGCAATTTGGCTAAAAGTGATCGTTCTCGACTCCAGTACATGCCTTACAAGTTTGCAACATTCATTTTGAGACACCTGTAAATGTTACTCACGGACTACGCTCCGCTCCATTTGTACAAATAATGTTTGGATTGACAAAATAAGCGCTCACATAATTAAACCAGCTTCGCAGACAATTCACAATTGCCTTCGCACTTCTGAAAGTTAGATCGACATGGTAAATCGCGTGTAATATTGTTTGTACAAAATCGTAAGCTTATTCCCGCCAGCGAAGAAAAGACGTCCCACGATAAAACTTTCGATACACACGTTCAGATGTCACCAGTTGGACGTTTCGAAGGGGACACCGTTATGACGCAGGGAAACAGCGCTTGTTTGGATTTTCACCCACGCGATACTGTGTTCCAAAACGCCGTTCATTTTGTTGTGAAATCGCCGCCAGTGCGTATCAGAAATCCGGATAGGGAGGAAAGAACGACGTCACAGCCGCAGCGGCAGGAGGGAACAATAGACAGAGCGGAGGCGGTTTAAGTTCGCTGAAGCAGACGACTTGGTTTCATTCGACACATTGCGCAACTTTATAGTATGGAAGAAGAAGAAGCAAATGATTGTCGTATTAATAGGCCGGTGGTATTTGTTAAAAGTAAATGGGATGAACCGTATGTTTTATTATAAAACATGAAAATAATGCGAAGATTTTCTTAATAGGAAAAAAATAATTGCGTTAAAACTCTTAACAGAGTACAAGCGTGACATTTCCTGATTAGTGAGATAGGTGAGTCAGGAAATGACCTAATCCAGCAGTATTTCGTACGATTGTCTTAGATGATGATAATATTAGACGAGAATCTTGAATGAAAATTAGTCGTTGAATCTTATACGTAATGGCAATGTAATTAGAATTGGTTTGTAATATTTCAGCACGAAATATTAACACGAATTTTAACATTTTGGTAAGTTTTGTTGAAACCTTTTAGCTGTAGGTATTCATTAAATAATATTTTCTTGATACAATTGTTTAATTATTATCTAATGTTAGTCCACGCAAGAATCCGAAGGCAATCTGAATAAATGTTTAGGTATCTGAGCTCGTAGTCTACCAAGGGTATCGCCTTTGGGCCACAGTGTACGGCTTGTAACTTAAGAGTGCTTTTGACGATGAATATATCACACCTACGAATTTTTCCTTTAAATTTCACTCGGCGCTTCCTCTGGGTATCAGTAGACCGCTGCATTTTGCGCTAAGGCAGTGGTTCATGAACCTATGATTTTTCGTTTTCCAGTTTAATATTTCTTTGATAGTTTCAAACCGTCGGCGATTTCCAAATTTCTTGTCGCAGATTTGCCATTCGCATGTACAACAGACATCCCACTTGGCGGGTCCGAAGGCAATATTTGACAGGGGCACTCAGAGAAAACAAGAGGCCTGGGGCTGTAGATACGAAAGAATGTACGAGTAGGTCCTAGAATATTTTTAAAGATAATTCGTCACACACACACAATGCAATGACTCATATTAATTTGTCACGCGCACCGACCCTTGTCTTAAAATAATTTGAACAGAACTCATACGTCCATAAATCAGAGATACGTTTTAACCGTTAATTTTAATTAGAAATAAATACATTTTAGAGTGAAAAGAATAAAAAAATTAGGATTCCAATTAAGCCAGTGTCTGAGGCAAATTGTTCCAGCTGCTTCTCTCCGTACCCCAATTACTTTGAATGGTCTGCGGAAGGACGGCAAGTTGCGGGACTCACCGGTGGTGGCGACCTTGTAGACCGGGCGGTAGGGTTGGTCGGGCGAGTCGCCGGGGATGTAGTCGCCCAGGCCGATGGTGGTGAGCGAGATGAAGCAGTAGTAGACGGCGTCGAGGAAGTCCCAGTCCGGCTCGAGGGCGGCGAAGGCGGCGGCCGGCAGCAGCACGAAACAGACGACGAGCGCGCCGCCCACCAGCCCCAGGTGCAGCAGGCGGATGTTGAAGGGCGGGTACAGGTGGCCGAGGCGCGCGTTCAGCGACTGCGCAGCCAGACGCGCGCTAGCGTCACGCGTGGGAACGCAAAGGCAGACGGAAGCTCAAATAATCGGCGCCCCGGGACTGGGCTGCCGCTAGAACAACTAATTTTATTGTGATTCTACCAGCAATTAGAAAGGAATAAAGTATACAAAAAGTCAATTGAATACTACATTCAGGGAAGCTCAGAAGAAATGTTAAAATCGTCATCAAGGGGGATATAAATAGATTACTTTTTGTCAATGAACGTGTGGTCGGAAATTTCATATAACAGTTAGTTAAGCGACATTTACCCCTTTTTGATAGGCAACTTTCGACGCACTAGTGTTCGGGAGATTGCGTTCTGACGCAGTCCAAGCTATTCGTGTACCTGCAACGGGGCTTAAGAAACTGTTTGACAAAGGGACTGAGGGAAAAATATCATAAAAAATTTAAAAATTAATCAAATCAAATAGGTAGGAGGGAAGGTAGAAAGTTTGGTAAGAGGTGGAGGGGGAGGAGTAGTTGTTTTGATTTATTTTTCGTCAACATTCAGTGAAAACACGTATAGGGGAGAAGTGTAATGTGCGCATATCTTCCACTATATATACACATACATATACATTTCACTCCACAGAGTCTTCGCGCGAGGAATGTGTGCTACAATGAATGAAGTCTCACAAACATCAACTTTGTAGCTTTTTCGACAGGCAGCTTTGTCAAAAAAGATACATACACATCTCGTGTAAGAAAGCACACAAGAAAAACAAGGGAACAAATTACTAACGCAGCCACAACAGTTTTCTAGTCAATTTCGTTCCGTAGCTCGCATTAGGCGAGCCGATGTCCTCTTAGCGGCCGCCGAGCGCCCCCTACCTGAAGCAGCAGCGTGGCGGGCACGAGCAGGCGCTCGGCGAGGGCGGAGAGCAGCACGAGGGTGAGCGGGATGCCCAGCACGGCGTACGCCATGCAGAAGAGCTTGCCCGCCCTGGAGAGCGGCGTGACGTGGCCGTAGCCGATGGTGGTGACGACGGTGCTGGAGAAGAAGAGCGCCTGGCCGAAGCTCCAGTTGGGCTCCCCGGACGCGTTGCGCGCCGCCGACACCCCGCGGTTGCTCGCGCGCACCGCCTCCTGCAGCAGCTCCTCCAGGTCCTCATCTGCGGCACGGCGCGGCACGGGCGACAACACTCGCATTAATAACAAAGTTTCTTAAAATTGTTCACACAACTTTGAGGATCAGTTTTGGAATAATAGCAGAAGGAAAGGTTTCATGTCTTAGAGAGAACGGAGGAATATGAACTGACAAAACAATTCACTCAAACTGCTCAGATATAGTTCCTCTCAAAAACAAAAAAAGAGACAGATATTACAGATACTTCTAGCACACTACACGAAGGAGGAATACAATAGGCAAATTCTAAATACACATTCGGGTCAAGAAATCCTGATCTTAATATTAGTGTTGATCTTATATACAAAGACCTGCAAGACCTGCAAGAATTGCATCTGTTTTATTCGAATGTCAGTGCCTGACTCTTCTTCCATACCTGGAATGGATCCATGAAACGGTAATTATGATTGTAGAGCAATGGCCGGACTCACCTTGCCCTCACAAGATCCAAATGGATCGATCGGGTTTTGAGCCTCGATCAGAGAAGGGTGGTGAGCGGTATGCTTCTAGACCGCTCACCACCCTTCGTCTTACATATTGGACACTTGCCACACCATTTATCATTCGAAAAATTTTGAAGAATTTGAATGGTCGTGGACTTGAGAGGAAATCTCTCGAGAGGTCCATTAACAACGGGGGCCAGTGAAGACATCTCATGACATTAATTGGCAGAGGTAGTTCTTCACTTCCTTTTTTCGGAGCGAAGACGAACGCCGAAGCAGTACCCTAACAAATGAGCCACAGACCGCACATGGTATTTCCTTCCTCATTCTAGTCCTCTTCCCTTCCTTAAAAGCTCAGTCCACCTAGATGCACTCCGCGCACACATGTCGAGAGACCAGTCAGCAGCTTTGGAAGTGTCCTGGTTTGGGCAGTGTCCCTCTGGGCGAGATACCTGGAGAGGGAAATCTCGCCAGCCGACGGCGCTGGATCTCACGGAAGAACACCTCCTCCTCCCGGTTGGTAACATTGTCTAATGACCAAAGAAGTTGACGCGTCGGGAATCAAAAAATACTTATTCGCTTAAAAATAGTCAAGGATTTCAAGACAGATCGTCGGTTGGACCAGAAAGAAGTTGGCGTTCACTACAAAGAATAACGGACGACTTAATGAACGAACAATTATGGGAACAAGTAAAGGAACTGGCAAGAAAATAAGACTTACTGCATTTAATCTATCCACTTCACTTCATGAAGTGCGTTATCAGAATGGAGGACTGCCGCATTGATTCTCGGGTCGCATGTCTCATCCTTTTTTCTCCGAGCAATAGGTTGCACTATCATGAATAGATTTGAGCGAGTACAATTCGTTTTTCGAAAAAGGAAATATGCTTCGTATGTAGTTGTGTCGATGTTCTCTAAGCGACATTCAAATAAGTTTATAAGGTTTTTTAGCCAATGCCTCAACAAATGGTGGGGAACTATCAGATAAAACGCGAATGGGCAGAAACATTCTTTTTGCTTTCATCTAGTGGTAAAGTCCACTCTTGAGCTACAGACGACGAATACATGGCGTACCCTTCAATGGAGGTTTCCATTTCCATATCGTTAGTCACAAAGGGAAATAATTTATTTGTTAAAATCATTTATTAACACTTAAACCTTCAAAAAACATTCACTTAATGCAGCATAAGGTTGTCAAATTCTAGATAATTTATATATACTTATTCGAAAAGAATAGAAAGGATATAAACAAATAAAAACAAAGTAAGGTGGTCCCAACGAACATATTGAAGGTCAATAACTTTTAGTACAAAAAATCAATTTCTAACTTCAACAATGAAATTCTGAATCTCAATATTCAATTACTATTAATTTATAATAATAATAATAATAATAATAATAATAATAATAATAATAATAATAATAATAATAAATAAATAATATTGTCCTCGTAGCTGTTGGTCAGCTCGCTTTACACTACGCGGCCCCGGGTTCGATTCCCGGTGAGGCAAGACTATAGTGTGCGTTTCCCTTACAATGCCCCAGTATATGTTGCTGTGTGTCGATGAGAAAATTCACTCCTCAGGTTGAGAAGACCGGAATACGTAGGGATGTCTACGTGCTAACCACACGTACCCTCTTAACCCATGGCCGCGAGGCAGGGACGTTGCCGATAGGCCTGAGCCCGTTCACGGGCTGTCGCTCCTAGTACGTACATACATACATACTATAATAATATTAATTATAAGACTCGAAGTTAAGCAATTTACATCAGCTAGGAAGCATATCGCCTAACACAAATCGCGGAACACAAATTAGTCAATACTTACAATAAGAACATTTACTTAAAATTATTAAGCCAAAATGCAAGAAAACATATACTAATTTTGTCAATTCTTCGCAACAGCATTTTCAATTGCCAATATTTAATTTCGATTGTGTTTCGACGTATTGAGGTACGTGCGTGTGTGTGTGTGGGTGTGGGGGGGGGAGGGGCATGTGGGGAGGCGCCTGGCGCAGCTCCCACGCAACCGCCGGGCTTATCGCCGCACGCATCTGTCAAGGACAGAGGTCCAGTTCGGGGAGAACGCGCCAGGGCGTATCGGTCGCTGTACCCCGATTCTTCCAGGACTTGTTGGCACGGGAGTAAATTTTCCTCCGCTCTTTTTATCTGTAGCCAGGTGCAATGATGCAGGCACATTTAATGTGTTGAAATCGATCTAGGTAGCCTACAGTTCCGATTCTCATGTTTCGGTTAGGCAACCCTCTTGACGCTTATGCGTCACATGCTTTTTGTTGCAGCGATCCCTGCAATTGTCAACCCAATTAAGATATTATATATATATATATATATATATATATATATATAGATAGATATATAGATAGATAGATAGATAGATAGATAGATAGATAGATAGATAGATAGATAGATAGATAGAGAGAGAGAGAGAGAGAGAGAGAGAGAGAGAGAGAGAGAGAGAGAGGTTAGGGCACCGGTAGAAAAGGGAAGAAAAGAAGTAAAAGGAGGGGATAAACAAGTAGAAGGATAAAGAAATGAAGAGGAAAGAAGGAAGAAAAAGGAAAGGAAAGTGAAGGTGACACGAAGGAGGACAAAGAGGAGTGGGCCAAGAAGGATACGAAGGGGGAACGGCAGGGGAAGGGCAACTACAGAAGCAGAAGTGGGAGCGGGAGCGCGCAGAGTGGGAGGGATGGGGATATCCATGGTGAGCATGGGGGCGGGGCGATCACATGAAAAACGAAGTGCTATCGCTCGATGAATCATAATTAAAACCTTCATTGTATCAACTTTCTAGTTAACACATTTAATTTTTGTATTTATTGCAGTTTAGTAAGGCATTCTTAAGAAAATTTGAAATACAATTATTTTACTAATGCAGTATTTTTTTACTGCGCGTATCCGAAAAGGAAAAAAAAAAAACGTTGGCCGCTCTCTTGTGCCGTATTGATCATAGAATCAACAAAACGCCAATGGACTTTGTAAAGATTCCGAGATCATTGTCCAGGAAACTCAGCGTCTGCCGAGCTCTCACGTGTCAAATGACACTCATTCGAAACCAAACAGTTTTCCTCCCTACTTTCTGTGTGTGATAAGTTGTACTAGAGAAAAGATAACGGCTTATTCCATTTTGAATGGTGATGTTTAGCAGTTATGTATCTAAAATTCAGCTTTCGCTCAAGCACAATTCATCGTTGCAATTAAAAATTAATCGAATAGATAGTAATTTTGTATACATTTTGATGAGCAATTCCTAACGTAAATTCTGAAATAATGTAATGCTTTAACAAAAATTTTATCCTGGTAAGTTGTTCCCTATTCAATCTTTGGCCCTAAATCTAATAAGTTAGACTCCAGATTCATTTTGCGACGGTCTTAACTTTATGAATTAGCATTGTCAAAAGTAAAGAAAGAACGTAAAGCTATGAAACAATAACAAATATGATAATTACTTGTTAAATACGTGTTAAATATGCAAGGACTCGACTAAACTCATCTCGATCGGGATATGCGCATAATCTACGAAGAAAACAATGTAATTTTTTAAAATTTTATCTGTGGAATAAAAATGTTACTTTTCTTCCGCTTTCCCAAACGTCACTATTCCAATTTGACGTAACTTTGAAACTATAAGCAAAATAATTTCTTACCATCTTAAGAATTATACATATCTTTCAAAATTGTTTTATAAAGATCTATTTCTTTTCACAGAAGAAATAATTGTAATTAACAATTGCAACATAAATAATTGTAATTAACAATTTAATTTACTCATTTCCGTTTACATGTGAAAGTGAAAGGTCAAGAATATATAACTCCTGGATTTTAATTTTAGGAACAAAATTCTATTGAGAACTACGTCAGGATGGCAAGTTTAACCTGAAAGTCATTTACTGAACAAACTATTATCACGGCAGATTTCGGGGCCTGCGCCGACTTCTGACTCATAGGAGATCAGTGCCACCTGCTCATTAATGGCGCACAAGTTAGTTATGGTGGCGTCACTACTGCTGTCGCCAACGAACTCGTGTTTCCCACCAGATATTTTCTTTGATTGAATATTATTATGCACAGGTTGATGACTCGGTAAGGCTAACCGCAACACTTGTAATTCTCAATCTTTCTATCTATTGTCTCACTTCATCATCACTTCATCACAACACTTCATCTCTGAAGGTTTCATTCATATTTACTCATGTGAGAATAAATGTCTAAAATATAATTCGTTCTCTTATATGCATGATATAGTATAGAAATTTTCGTTTTCAATACAAATTTGTATTTTGTACCAATTACGAAGTACGCATTCATTAATTTTACATTACTTCATTAATTTCAAATTATTACATTACATTATTACTTACAAAGAGGGGATATTATTAAACATAAATAATGTTTGAAGTATACACGACAAAGCTTTGACTCAGTAATGAAAACAAAATAAAAGTAGTTTAAGAATAACCAAATAGAAAAAAAAACACTTTTTAGAACTCTATTCTATTTAAAAAGTGCCGCGAATGGATTTATTATAAACAACATAAGATTTTCAGTATTT